CTGAACTGCTATTTTATATCGGGGATTGGGAAACTTTTTCTTATGGTGCCAAATAGGAAATATTCTGGTCTTGTAGGTCATATAGTCACTGTTGTATCTAACTCTCCCAAATAGCAAAATACCAGTAGTAGACAATACATAAATGAATGGGCATGACCATGAAGCAATAAAGCTTTAGTTAAAAAACAGAGAACTGGTTATAAGCTATAATTTTCTGATCCTTGGACTATAGCATTAGTTTACATATCTGTAGGGATCATACATATTTGCACAAGCCCAAAATCCCAGGAGGAGAATGGAGGAGAAGAAATTGCAGCATGGCCACTTTCCCTCTCACTGCCTTTCTCTGTCTTTTTCTAGCAAATACTCACTCCCTATGGCAAAAATAAATAAATAAATAAATAAGCTTTAAAAATAAAATAATAATACTTTATAGATACTTAGTTGCAGGAACTCAATGTGTTCTTGTTTAGTAGTTCTTAAATATTAATACCAAAATGCGTATCAAAGAAATAAAAATCTACTTTCTGTTACTTACAGTATAGCTTGTAGATTTGTAGGGATGCCACTCTGGTCATTAGCACTCAAATTTTATATTCAAAACTTTTATTTCAGTTAAATGTGTGTTTCTTGAGCAGCTTGCATTTTTTAAATATTTTAAATCAATGAAATTTAGCTTATAAAGAACATTGATGAAAAGTAGCATCTCATATGCTATTTGTGAAGGAGTTGTTTGATTTAAAAATGTATCTATACCACTTTAAGGAGATCTGCATTCATAGACTTAATGCCCACCATTACTAACGGTATTAATGATTTTGGATGCATGTTTTGCTATTGGCAGTTTGGGACATAACACTTCAAAATGAGACCAAAATGAATATGTACTTGAGTACACTATTTCTCAAAATGAATTTCTTTTGATGTTAGTAGGTTTAAGTTAAAGAAGCTATCACTAAGTAATTTGGAGAAATGTTTGTCTAAGGACATTTAGTGAGTTTCATTGCTGAAGAACTTCTGCGTTTTCTGAAAAACATTGTAAATCTCCTAGGAGGAGGTAAAATAGTAGTCTCCAAGATTACTTGCATTTAGAACCCTTTCTCGTAGATCATCTCTTCATTCTCATGTTCTGTGGAATCCACTTTGGAAAATGCTGCCATAAAAGACATAGAACCTTGGTTTAAAGTTTGTTAATTATACCCTTCAAATTCAATGTTCCTGAAAACACTTGGCCAGTTTTGTTGTCTGTTGTTTATATTTCAAAGGTAATGTAAATTACTGTTAACTTTATTTATCATGAATAAAATTTCTTATTTATTCCCACATCTCTACTTTTTAGTATGGGAGAGCACCTTTATGGAGCTTTACTCTGAAAGCTAGCAAACCTTCAGAGGAGAAAAACTGATTTTCTCATCTCAGCTGAGGCGTTGTCTTTCTTAGGGTCACACAGTCTCAAGGAAAGATAACTGGGGGCCAGGAGCCTTGTCCTGAATTTCGTAATGTGTGTTTTGTAAGACCCATGATCACTGGCAGAAAACATAAGCATTAAAGGGCAAAACAGACAAGTAATTTCTGAACTTTGAAAGATTATCAAAAATTAAGCCTTATGAAAAAGAAACGGAGACAAATTATTTTCAGGAAAGGTATTATTAGGAAGTACTAGGGACCAGCCCATGGGATAGTGGTTCAGGTGACTGGATCCCACATGGCTGACTGTATGGTTAGAGTCCTGGATGTACTAGCTTAAAAAATACTCTGAGTATGTGTGCGTGGGTACCCAAAGTCCCAAAAGGAAGGAGGAGAGGGGGGATTATGGCATGACCATTCCCCATGGGGCGTGCTTTCTCACTTTCCCTCTCTCGCTCTTTCCTCTCCCTCTCTGCAGCAAGTACACATGCCCCGGAGGAGCGGGGGAGAAGGAAGTACAATTGGGATCAACATTTGTTGAAGGAAAGGGATCAGGATTGGGCAGAGGGAGAAGTTGGGATACAGTGAGTCTCAGTAAGGGCCTTGGTCAATTCCTGTGAGCTCCAGATCTGTGATGGCTCTTTGATGTTGTTCCAAGTTGAGGTGAAGGGACTGGACATTAATATCTCTTCATCACTCACTCATTGACTATGGCCACCCCTAGAAGGGCACATGATTTCACATGAGAGGCAGCTATTATGAAACAAGAGGATTAAGATCAGAGGGCTCTCTGCCCTTGGTATTTCAGCATTTGTAGGAATAAGGCTTTCCTTTATGGAGGTGTTTGGACAGTGTATCACGGGAAACACTTCAGAAGTGTACCAGTCTTTTGACTGTCATCAACAAAGACCTTAAGATGCTGAACCCATAAGAGCTGATTTTTCTCACGGTGATGAACCCATAAGGGCTGATTTTTCTCACATAATGAGAGGTTAGAAAGCAGGCAGATGCTGGTATTTATCTTTTATTCCTCATGCTCTCAAAGTTGCTGCTAGACCTCTAGCCAGCATGCCTGAATTCCAGACAGCAATGATTCCTAGAAGCTCCACCCAATGACTTCCACTTGTATATACGTATTAATAACAGAGGCTAGGAAATGACCTTTTTCAGCAATCACATTGCCTAGATTTCCATCATAAAGGAAGATAGATTTTAGGATTGACAGCTAATAGTCTCTGCCCAGAAAATTGTTAGTACTCTGAGCAGGCAGGCAACAGAAACACTGCAGAACTATCAGAGACTTTGTCAAAGTGGGTTGGGCTAGGAGATGGGGGTCAGACAGGGTGGCGGTTTGAGCGTGATGAGAACAGGACACCAGTTAATTAAGAGGTAAAGAATTTTTACATTAGCCATTGGAGCACATGGACAGGAAAGTTACCAGGAATTTACAGGATAACTTAAAGAGTCCAGTGAGATTTTTAGATAAACCACTCTTATGTACTTCTCTGGGCAGCAACCAGTTGCGGGGGGTGGGGGGAAATGACTCTGAAGCTATACCAGACTAAAGACTACTTTTGATCTAGTGAAATTTCTAGGCCACAAAATTTAATTTAAAAAGTTTAACAGCTGTTTATTTAATAATTCTAAGAAATATACCAGCATAGAAAAAGTTATGTGAAGTGAAAAGGATTTTCTTCTAACCAGAACAATATTCTGTCATGCAGGGCAAAAGTCGTGTGTTTATGCTCCCTTTCTAAAAATCTTTGAGTTCTTTTTCCTGTAATCTTCCTGTAATGATGTAATCATCATACAAATGAATTATCACTGAGACATCCCCCCATTTAATACCAGTGAGAAGATGGCATCCTTTCTACTCTAGGTCCCCATAGCAAAGGTGCACGTGGAGCACAGGAAGTATGGAGTTAAAATCTCAGCTCGTCAATTCAGACCACTTGGCTTCAAAGCTCAGCTCTTCTATTTACTCCCTACATGGTCTTGGGAAAGATTATTTGAGCCAGAGGTTTACAAATAGGTGATTTTGTCCTTCCTAGGGACCATTTGGTAATGTCTAGAGACATGTTTGTTTGTCACATGGGAAGGGGGAGCTGCTACTGGCTGGTAGTGGATAGATGCTGTAGCAGTTCATATAATACACAGGACAGCCTCCACGACCAATAATTACGTGGCACAAAATGTTAACAGGCCTGAAGCTGAGAAACCCAATTTTAACCTGCATTCATTTCTTCGTCTAGTAGTTGGGATTAAGTACTACTGGCCTACTGGCAAATAAGTATGCTGTTAATGTACTGGGTTGCTGGAAAAATCATGACACACAGTTTTTCACAGAAAAAATACGTCATGACTTTTCCAATGACCCAGTAAATTAATCATCATCACTAATACTAATCTGCATATTTAGGCTGAGTTGAAAGAACATGACATCTACTACCTGAAGATATTTCTCTTTCCTTCATCTGATGAAAATCACTAAGGAACAAAGAAAATGGGGAACAATAATAGGAACCTTTACTTATAGAGTCAAAGAAGATCATGAGTCAGTAAATTAGATGACCACTGTATTCTAAGTACTAAGGAAGTGATGTTCAGTCTTACTTATGTACATAGCTTTCTTTTATTTATTTATTTTTTTTTTAGAGGTTTTTGCTTTAGGGCCCATGTGCTCACCAAAGACAATGAGAGGGAAATGAGAAGTCACCCCCCCCCAGGGGGGGATGACCAGGCTGCAGTCTTCCATTCTCCTCCCTGCATCTTAGGCACACACACACATGCTTCCGGCATGAGTTTCAAGCCACCAGGCCCGGACTCAAACCATGGTCAGCCATGGGAGTCCAGTGACATAAATGCTATGCCACCTATTGCCCACACAGCTTTCTTCTTCATATTGATTTTTTTTTTTTACCCTTTCCTTTTTGCACCATAATGTAAAGTGACAGCTTGTTTCTTCTTCTTCTTCTAATTCTTCTTCTTCATCTCTTTCTTTCTTTCTTTCTTTCTTTCTTTCTTTCTTTCTTTCTTTCTTTCTTTCTTTCTTTCTTTCTTTCTTTCTTTCTTCCATGAGCAAAGGAGAAACAGAGAAATAAACTCATCAGGGTTTTCATGCTGCAGTCCACCCTAGCCTTACTCAGTTCTGGATCATGGGCATGTGCATGCCCAGAGTACTTGGGGAGTTCTTCAGACATGAACCCAGAACGTTCCCTGTGGGCAGCATTACATTTTACTGCCCACAGGGAAGTAGACCAGGTGTGCCATGGTCTAGCTCCTCTCTGCACATCTTTTAGAGGTCCAGATTTTTCAATCTTTTCTGGTTACTAAGGACTTGGAAGCCATTTCCACTAATAGGAAGAGTGGGCTAGGATAAAGTGTTGGTATGCTTGAAAATGAAAGTCATGCTACTATTACAGTTTATTCACATACCAAATGAGCTATTGAAATGTTCGCTAAGTTTTCAAATCTGTAATTTTCTGTTTGTAATTCTATTGAGGAATACTGGAGTGAACTGCAAAGCCCCAAACTTAGTGACATAAATTCATTGGTATTTCAGTATTATTAGTAATTATCTTTTATTTTTCAAGGCAAATGCAATAGGTCGAAGTGCTAAAACTGTTCGAGAATTTCTAGAAAAGAATTACACAGAGGATGTTATAGCAAATGACAACGAGGCTATCAAATTGGCAATAAGAGCTTTGCTAGAAGTAAGTTACATAATAAAGTATGTTCAAAAAATCATGTTTTTATCCTCATCCTTTTATTAAACAGAAAATTTGCTTAAGTGACTATAATATTATACTCGTTCTACATTAGGTTGTCCAGTCTGGTGGAAAAAACATTGAACTTGCTGTAATAAGAAGAAATCAACCTTTAAAGGTAAGTCATTAATAAAAATATTTTTGACAAAAATTAAAATGTTATTGATAACTTATAAATTTCAATTATAAGCATGAGACATCCATTAGCATCCAGTGATACCATGATTTCAGCTTTTATTCTGGAGGCCAATATTCACTCATTTGTACATGCTTACTGCAAGCAGATACTAATCCCTATCCTTTTAAAAAATTATTTATTTGGGAACAGCAGATGGTGTAATGGCTACATCACTGGACTCCCAGATAGTCGACCGCAGTTCAAGTCCTGGACCCAGCAACTTGAAACACACATCAAGCACGGGTGCATACATGCCCACGATCCCAGGAGGAGAACAGTGGAAAGGGACTGTAGTGTGGCCATCCCCCTGGGGGGTGATTTCTCACTTTGTCTTTCTGTCTTTCCAGTGAGCACACATGACCTATAGCAAGAATCTCTCTCAAAAAATTTTTTTTAAATTTATTATTATTATTTTAAATTTGCAGTAGGGCACATGCACTCAGCAGAGAGAGAGAGAGAAAGGAAGAGAGAGAAAGTGAGAAAGCAAGCCACCAGGTCCATGATTTGAACCACGATTGGCTGTGTGGGAGTCCAGTGCCTTAACTACTATGCCTCTTCCTGGCCTCTCCTTATTCTTTTATTTTTTTTTTTCTATAAAGCATATGCACTTGCCAGAGAGACAGAAAGTGAAAGAGCATCCTCCCAGGGGGAATGGCCATGCCACAATCTCTTCTTCTCTATTCTCCTCTCATGATTTTGGGCACACATGCACACGCACCTGACTTTAGTTTCAAGTCACTGGATCTGGGACTCGAACCATAGTCAGTCATGTGGGAGTCCAGCACCCTAACCACCATGCCACATGCTGGTCTTGTCCTATTCATTTTGAAGACACAGCTGTGCAAAGATCTCCATATAGACCTTCTCATATACATATATGTTCCTGAAAGAGGAACCCCTACTGAATCAGTATATGGGGTCTGTATAGCATATTTTGTATAGAAATTAATTTCTTAAACCAGATAGAAAGCATTTATCATCCTCTTTTTAGATCATCCGAAATCAAGATAGGCTTCCAGCTAGTGTCATTCAGCTGCAATTTTTATTTAATTGTTGGCTTTCTGGCTTTTGACATAATGTTATCATTCATTGTGTCAGAGAACCTCCATCTTTTTCTGATTATCTATTGGTTTTTATCTATTTTCTCTATTTTTTACTTGAAAGTACCTTGAGCCTCTATAAGACTTAAATTTTAATACCTTGCATGATAATCTTTCTATATTCCTTTGTGGTAACTCTAGTGTTATCATTGTAAACCTTTTGTCAGCCACTGAGTGTTAAAACTGCTGGCCCAGAAATATACTAGATGAAGTTTTTATGTTTTTTTTTTGATGGGGGAGAAATTTTCGCTATAGGGCGCATGCACTCGCCAGACTGGTGGGGGAGAGATTTTCGCTATAGGGCGCATGCCCTCGCCAGACAGAGAGAGACAAAGAGACAGAAAGCGAGAAATCACCCCCCAGGGAAGATGGCCACGCCGCAATCCCTTCTCCTCCATTCTCCTCTTGGGATCTTGGGCACGCACGCACACATGTCCAGCATGAGTTTCAAGCCACCGGGTCCGGGACGTGAACCGCGGTCGACTACATGGGAGTCCAGAGACATAGCCATTACGCTAACTGCTGGTTCCCTAGATGAAGTTTTTGGCAGACATTTGAAAATAGGTCCTACTGAAAACTAAAAATTTTCATAGACAAAAAATTAAACTGTTTCCATGGTCCTGGGACTAAATTAAAGAAAGCAGATCTGTAATGGGTTAGAATGAATGCTTTAGTCTACACATTAAAAAACAAAACAAAGCAAAAGTCTCCAATTCATACTGGCTTAAACAATAATAAATATTTTTTTGAGATGTTTTTGCCATAGAATACGTGCGCTCACCAGACAGACAGAGACAGAGAGACAGAAAGAGAGAAATCACCCTCCATGGGGGATGGCCATGCCGCAGTCCCTTCTCCTCCATTTTCCTCTTTGGATCCTGGGCACGCACACACACGTGCCCAGCAACAATAATAAATATTTTTATTTCATAAATGACAGTATAAATTCGCTTTAGACACAATATGTTTAGCTACACAATGGTGTTCTCAAGGACCTAGGTTTTTTCCTGTGTTTCCACTTCACCTTTTCAATACTGACTTCATCCTAAAATCAATTTGTTCTGGCAAGGTTGGTTCTTTTCATGATCACTAGTGGCAATCACAATTATTTATTATCCATTAACTTCCTGTGGGAAAAGAGAGAGATTCCTTCTCCAACTTTGGAATATAAATTCCTCCTCTTAGTCTAATTAGGAGACTGAAGACATCCTCGGAACAGTCTCAATATAATTTTATTTGTGTATTAGCTAATGCTAATCATCTACAATAGAATAGGATAGATATTTGGACAGTCAACCATAGCATCTTCTGTAGGAGGTGTTTTAGATGTCTTCAAAGTCTGAAATTGTTTTCTTGGAAATCGTTTTAGGGACCAACATGTGGTATAATGTTTATGTCTCTGGACTCCCATGTAGTTGACTGTAGATCAAGTCCTAGACCTGGTAGCTTAAAACTCACACCAGGCGCGAGTGCTTATGTGCCCAAGAATCCAAGAGGAGAATGGATCAGAAAGGATCGAGAAGTGGCCATCCCTCAGGGGGTGATTTCTTGCTTTATATATCTCTGTCTGTCTCTCCGCCAGGTACATGCACCCTATAGCAAAAATCTCTCAAAAAAATGTTTTCAAAACATATATATATGGGATACATAGTACAATACCACATTTTGAGTGCTTGTGTGCCCAAGAATCCAAGAGGAGAATGGATCAGAAAGGATCGAGAAGTGGCCATCCCTCAGGGGGTGATTTCTTGCTTTATATATCTCTGTCTGTCTCTCCGCCAGGTACATGCACCCTATAGCAAAAATCTCTCAAAAAAATGTTTTCAAAACATATATATATGGGATACATAGTACAATACCACATTTTGCCCTGCTTTTTTGGCACAGTGATAGTGTAATTGTCATGGATCTCGTTTTGTCTATAATTATTACAAGTGTGTTGCTTTTGAACTTTTAGAAACATTTCATTGTATATTCGAAGTTATAAAACATAAAGTTATAAATAGGAAATAGGCATTTGTAAAATGCTGTATTGTTTCATAGAGTGAATATTTAGATATTATTGATATAATTGAAATTTGCTTTTAAAATTGTTTTTCTTTTTTCAGATGTTTAGTGCCAAAGAAATTGAGTTACAAGTAACTGAAATAGAAAAGGAAAAAGAAGAAGCAGAGAAGAAAAAATCAAAGAAGACATCCTAAGTTTTAGGAGGACCCTGGGAATTTTTAATGTTTTGTTGTACTGCTTGGTATTATTTAGTGAAATTTTAAAAGAAATAAGTTTCTTTGCAGCACTAACAGTGTCATATTTTTGTCTATCTTTAGCCTATCTCACAGTCAAACATAGGTGAGTGTAAAATCTTCTTTAAAAGGGGTTTCTGTAATTGCTGAAAGCAGTCGTACTTCGACATTAGCCTGCGACTTGTCCAGTATGTTCGTTTTCTTCATGTATGCAAATTCAGCTAAGAAAATTTTTAACTTAAAAAAGTTAATACTTTGGTGAGGTTTGTGTATCAAATGTCAGTTAAAGAAATAGCTGTTCTAGGGACCAACAGTTGGCGTAATGACTATGTCACTGAACTCCCACATAGTCAACCGCAGTTCAAGTCCCGGACCTGGTGGCTTAAACTCATGCTGGGCACGTGTGCATGCGTGCCCAAGATTTCAAGAGGAAAATGGAGGAGAAGGGATTGTGGCATGGCCATCCCCCCGGGGGTTATTTCTCGCTTTCTATCTCTCTGTCTCTCTCCATCTTTCTGGCACACGCACACGCCCTGTAGCAAAAAACCCTCTCCAAAAAAAAAAAAAACAACGAAAGAAAGAAAGAAATACCTATTCCAAAATAAAGCAGATATAATGTTGAGTTACAGTTCTTGAAGAGTAATAAAAAACATTTTTATGTTGGTGAATTGTCAAAATTTTGTCTGAGCTTTTTTTTAGGGATTCTTGATTTAATTTTATTATTTTTATTTATTTAATAGAGATTTTTGCTCTAGGGCATGTGTGATTGTTGGAGAGACAGAACGACAGAGAGACAGAAAGTGAGAAATCATCCCCCAGTTGGGATGGCCATACCTCAGTCCCTTCTCCTCCGTTCTCCTCTCGGGATCTTGGGCATGCACAAACACGCACCCACCATGAGTTTTAAGTCACCAGGTCTAAGACTTGTTTTTTTGTTTTGTTTTGTTTTTTGAGAGGTTTTCGCTATAGGGCGCATGCACTCGCCAGACAGAGAGAGACATAGAGACAGAAAGTAAGAAATCACCCCCCAGAGGGGATGGTCACGCTGCAATCCCTTCTTCTCCATTCTCCTCTTGGGATCTTGGGCACACACGCACAAGTGCCTGGCGTGAGTTTTAAGCCACCAGGTCCAGGACGCTAACCACGGTCGACTATGTGGGAGTCCAGCAACACAGTCATTATGCTAACTGCTGTTCCCCCCCCTTTTTTTTTTTTGCTGTAGGGCACGTGCACTTGCCTGACAGACAGAGAGAGTCAGAAAGTGAGAAATCACCCTCCAGGGGGGATGGCCACACTGTAGTCCCTTCTCCTCTCGGGATCTTGGGCACGCACACACATGCGCCCAGCATGAGTTTAAGCCACCAGGTCCAGGATGCCAACCGTGGTCGACTACATGGGAGTCCAGCGACATAGCCATTATACGAACTGCTGGTCCCACCAGGTCCAAGACTTGTATCACGATCAACTCTGTGGGAGTCCAGCAATGTAACCATTACACTATCTCCTGGTCCCTTATCATTATTTTTTAATTTGATCAAAGAGAGAGAGCAAGGGAAAGTGAGAAAGCAAGCCGCCAGGTCCAGGACTTGAACTGCACTTGGCCATGTGGGAATCTAACACCTTAATCACCATGCCACCTGCCGTCCCTGAACCCTCTTTGTTTTAAATATTTTGTCACAAGCACTGGACTCCCACATGGCTGACCGCAGTTCCAGTCCTGAACCTGGTGGCTTTTTTTCTCACTTTCCCTTTCTCTCTCTCTGGTCAGATTTTTAAAAATAACAATCAAGGCTCCAGCTGTCAACCCTCTGATTCTGATGGCCGGCAACTAGGAAGTGAATGTGTGGGGCTTTGAGGAATTCAACTAGGTGATGGAGCAGTACAGCAGCAAGACCATTTTCACCCACGGTTCTAAAGACGCTAAAGCAAAAAGCTGGCAGGCCGCCTGTGCAGAGGCTGAACCAGTCATATGAGAAAGGCTGCAGCATGTTTGTGAAGGATATGTGTTTATCCACTGCCAAGTAGGAGGGAGACTTTATGGGGAAGATCCAAATAATGACTTCATAAATAAAGGTGAAAAGGGACCAGCAGTTGGCGTAATGGCTATGTCGCTGGACTTCCATATAGTCAACCGCAGTTCGCGTCCTGGACCCGGTAGCTTAAACTCACGCCGGGCATGTGTGTGCGCGTGCCCAGGATCCCGAGAGGAGAATGGAGGAGAAGGGACGGCGGCATGGCCATACTCCTGGGGGGTGATTTCTCGCTTTCTGTCTCTCTCTCTCTCTTTCTGGCGAGCGCACGCACCCTATAGCAAAAACCTCTCCAGAAAAAAAAAAAAAAAAAGGTGAAAAGAACTGCAGAACCTGTACTACTTAAATGAAAAACTGGTAGAATGTGAGTGTCTTCAGGCCAACCTTGTGGAGATGTTATTCTCTGAAGATTAAGATTTGATTATGGCAAATATCTTGATTGCTTGATTTGCTTTAATATAAAGAAACATAATACTTACTTTACATTGATGTTAGGAGAAACTAAATGATGCTATTAAAGTGTTCACAAACCTTCAAAAAAAAAAAAATAACAATGAGGGACCAGTGACATAATGGTTAGATCGCTGGACGTTCAAGTGGTCGACCATGGTTTGAATCCCAGACCAGCGACTTAATACTCATACCAGACGTAGGTGCGTGGGCCCATCAAATCCTGAGAGGAGAATGGAGAAGAGATTGCGATGTGGCCATCCCCCCTGGGGCAGGGGGGGTGAGTTCTCATTTTCTATCTCTCTGATGAGCATAGGTCTCCTATACCAAAAATCTCTCTAAAATAATATTAACAACAAATAAAATTAAATAAGTAACTTTTTTTGTGTGTGGAGAGGTTTTTGCTATAGGGTGTGGGCGCTTGCTGGAGAGACAGACAAAAACAGAGAGACAGAAAGCGAGAAGTCACCCCCAGAGGAGATGGCCACATGGTAGTGCCTTCTCCTCCATTCTCCTCTCAGGATTTTGAGCATGTACACACATGCCTGGTCTGAGTTTTAAGCTGCTGGGTCTGGGACTCAAACCATGGTCGACTGCGTGGGAGCCCAGTGATGTAACCATTATGTCATCTGCTGATGCCAATAACTTTTAAAAACATTCTGTCACAGCTATTTTACCTTTTTTATAAGTCATAATGTATTATTTTGCTCAGGGGACAAAGATCAAAAGCCTAATCCAAATAGACTATCTTTTGTTTGTTTTTAAATAATTATTTTATTTTATTTTATTTATTCATTCAGTTATTTTAATTTGACCAGAGAGAAACACAGAAAGAGAGGGAAACTGAGAAAGCAAGCCACCAGATCTGGTACTCGAACTGTGGTCGGTCAGGTGAGAGTGTCCAGCACCTTAACCACCATGCCAACCGCAGGCCCCTCAAATAGACTATTAAAATTAAAGTGCAATAAGAGCTTATAAGCTAAAGGATGCTATATGAAAATTAATACATGTAATGTTTAGTTTTATTCTTTTTTAATTAAATAATTATTTAATTTTTATTTATTTATTTATTTATTTATTTATTTATTTATTTTAATTTAACAAGAAAGAGACAGAGAAAAAGAAAGGCAAAGTGGAAAAGCAAGCCACCAAGTCCAGAACTTGAACTGTGATCAACCATGTGGGAGTCCAGTGCCCTAACCACCACACCACTTGCTGGCCCCATACTTAGTTTTATTCTAATGTTATCTCAAGTATGTCCAATATGTTAGGTTTGTTTCACTTGCCAACAAATAGATCAGTGCTTGTATTATGCTTGGGATTGTGCTAATAAGCTCATTGAAAGGAACAAGAGACATATAAAAAAAGACCCCCAGCCCATGAACAGGGTTTAATTCAAATGGCCCACAAAAAGAATGTGCTTAGGAAATGTAAGATTATTTTTTGAAAATGGTGTATGTAGTAATATTCTTGATTTGAAAAAACATATTCTGCACCATAAAGATGTATGACAATTACTAGGAACATTATAAAATAAAATCGAGAGGGGGTGAGGTGGGGGAGAGAATGTGCTTAGGCTTAGAGCCAACCTAGTGTCCGATGGTCAAGGGAGCTAGATCTCACATGGCTTACTGTGCAGTACAAATCTTGGCCCCGACAGCTTGAAAAATAAAACAGCACATGTGATGCATGCCTGAAATCTGGGCAGGATAGAGGCATGGAGGAGAAGGGACTGCGCTATGACCATGCCCCAGTCGTGGTGGGGGAAGGGATTTCTCCCTCTCCCATTCTTTGTCTCTATTGCTCTTTGACAAAAGCACATGCCCTCTGGCAAAAAAAAAAAAAAAGGAAGGAAAAAAAGTCCATAATGCCTAACATGACTTTGTATATTTGGGTTTTTTGGAGAAATTTTTGCTATATGAGCTTGCATTCACCAGAGAGACAGAGAGAGAAAAAGTGAGAGATCACCCCCCACCCCCAGAGGGAAGAGCTACGCCACCATCCCTTATCCTGTCTGGATTTGAGGCAGGCACATGCATATGTCCTGCATTGAGTTTCATGCCGCCAAATCTAGGATTTGAGATGCAGTCAGCCACGTGGAAGTCCAGGGCTTTAACACTACACCACATGCTGGCTTTGGAACCATAGAATTTTGTAGCTCCTTATACTTCTCTTCTTTACTTCTCTTCTTTAAACCAAATACCTGTTCCCTGATCCTACCCAAGCTCTGCTTAGCTTTGTTGAAGCAAAGGTGCTTTCTAAGCAAAAGGCTTAAGGAAGATTTTACCATGTCGTGGGGCAGAGGAGGCATCAATAATCAATAATCGGCTTCCACTGCAGATGTCTCAATAAACATGTATGTGCAGGAGGGACTGGATGGTCACATTTCCTACTGCACTGCCCATCATCTTGAATTTTTCATTTTTTTTAAGAGAGATTTTTGCTATAGGGCACATGTGCTTTGTGGAGCGACAGACAGAACAAGAAACCACTGCCCAGGGGAGATGGCCATGCCGCAATTCCTTCTCCGTTCTCTCAGGATCTTGGGCATGCACGCACACGTGCCCAGCGTGAATTTTAAGCCACCAGGTCCGGGACCCAAACCAAGGCCCAGCCTGGGAGTCCAGCAACATAAACATTTCACCATCTGCTGGTTCTCTGCCCATCATCCTCAATGCACTGCTTAACATCTTGCATGTACCTCTTAGCATTCAGCATATTACAGTGGCATTATCTGTTTGATTTACTTAGCTGACATACTGAGTACTTCAAGCAGCAAACACTGTATTAGATGCTAGAGATACATAGTAGTAAAAATTAGACTCGGTTTTTGTCCTTATTTCTGTGTAACAGGAAGACAGACATTAAACCAA